TGTAAACCAGTATAATGCAACTTAATAGGGTTTTTTTCATGTTAACCAGTATAATGCAACTTAATAGGGTTTTTTTCATGTAAACCAGTATAATGCAACTTAATAGGGTTTTTTCATGTATAATGCAACCTAATAGGTTGCATTATACCACCAGACCAAGACCCAAACGAAGACTCAGACCACCACCAGATAATGACCACAGACCAGGTTTCCTTAGTTACAGGAACCAAATTGTTTCAGCGGTGAGGGGATTTTTCAGTTTCAAGGACACTTTCAATACATTCAGTAGTTTCAAGGATTTCAGCTGTTTAAGAATTTAACCAGTTTCAAGGATATCAGGAGGTTCAAGGATTTCAGGAGTTTCCACACTTTCAACAGTTTCCAGGTTTAAAAAAGTTTCAAGGATTTCAGGAGTTTCAATGTTTCAACAGTTTCAAGGATTTCAGGAGTTTAAAGGTTTCAACAATTTCAAGGACTTCAGGAGTTTCAAATATCTATCAAGTATTTTAACAGTTTCAAGGCTTTTTAAAGGATTTCAAGGATTTTTTTTAGCAGATTTCCACATTAGATCTGTTCCGCAGTCAATCGCAATGGCTTCAGCCATTGCAAGTTTCTAGTTTCTAATTGTATTCCTATTTTCACTAAACACTTGTGCCTCTCTGCACTTTAAAACGGTGTGCCTCTTTTGCACTCTAAACGGTGTGCCTCTTTTGCACTCTAAACTCTGTGGACTTCCCTTTTCCGTTCTTTTTTAGAGAGAGACCAAATCTCTCAAGGTTTAAAAACGTTGAAAAACCTGACTATTGTTCTATCGCGTCCGATAGAACGCCCGTCACGGCGGTCTGTCCACGCTGCAGTCCGTCGAGCCGAATTCTCTCTCTCTTCCATTTAGAACAATGTGCAGATTTTCAAAAGTATGATCTGCTTACCTCTTTTGAAGCAACTTTTTCGAAGAGAAGAGAGAATTTTCCAGGCCCACGGACCCAGTCTATATCTGAGCTCATCTCTGTCCTGCTCCTGCACCATCACGTCCGGGTCACCATTTGTTGTCAAAAATTCCCTTTGACGGACGTGTTCGAAGTTGATGCAGAAGTAAGACAAAAGATCTCCAAGTTTAACATCTCTATTTAATTTATCGTTACAATCAGATACATTCAACAAGAGAGCTCCTAAAACTATCCATGTCCCTCTCTGGCCCTGTGCTCACTCTGAGCCCCCGCCTCAAGCCAGAGCATATCAGCAGATGTCCAGGAAGAAGGGGGCGTGTCGTATCAGGCAGCTTCCGGTCCAGGGTCCGGCCTTTTCCTCCGTCTGCCAGACCTAAAACAGAAATCATGCTTCCTAACCTAAGGCTCCAAGCAGCTGTCACTAGTCTGGGATCCATCTCTTGTCTAAACAACTCCCCTAATTAGTCTCAACAGCCCGCTTTCCTATAGAACAAACCTATTGTAGTACAAAACACATCACACTAATTAACCTAATATCTAAGTACATGAAATCACCTAAAATATGAAGTAAATATATGTTAAGAAAGGTTATGTGTATTATCATATGACAAATGAGTAGACTTAGAAGACTCCAGTCATGTCAACCCACTCATGATTGAGTGAGGTTGAAAAGTGCAGATGTCAGCAGGAGCAAGACTAGGGGGACAAATCCAAGCAGCAGAAACCATCTGTTGTTTAGTTGATCCCACAAGAAGACACCTAAAATAAAATAAAAAGGACTGGCCTCCCACCCAGAGGTCGATAGGTCATAAAACACATGGTTTTAGTGTGTCACGTATTTATAAATACAACAACCCTCAGTGCAAGATGTTGTGCTACCGCAGGGCCTTTATCCCACCGCTTTCAGACTGTACAACAAGTCACTTTAAGTCACTTGCACTAGGACTAAAAAACAAACTACACTACTATTGACACTGTTTCTTTAATTGCCACTTTTTATTGTACAGCGTATATCCTGCATTTAACACACTTCTTTCTTTGCACAAATCTTGAGTGATTCTATCCATGCCAGATGTGAAAATTTCTCCTGTGTGAGATAGATAAAGTCCATCTTATCTTATCCTAATTCTTGGGTATTTACATCAATATAACACAATCTTTATCCATCCATCCATTTTCTACCCTTTAGTCCATTTATGGGTCAGCAGTACACTTCGGCATAGCCTTGGTCTTTCAGCTGAGCTTCAGGAAAAGTGCAGTTATGTGTCTTGCCCAAGGACACGGCGACAGCAGACATTTATTTTATTTATTATATAACATTACAGTCACATGAAGAAGAGGAGTAGGATGAAGACCAAGTCTTATTTAAACCCCTACCCCAATCTTATGACAGTAAGACAACAAACATAGATGGCTTTGTGTCAAAATACAACAAATACAAATACAATACTATTTCTCACTTCATTTAACATACGATTTGATCATTTTTTGTTTACATTTAAACTTAAATTGTAATATATTTGAACATGTTTTTAATTCATTGTCCACAGAGTTCCACAGTTTTACACCAGCATATGAGATGGACATTTGTTTAAGTGTTGTTCTTGCAAAAGGCATTTTAAAATCCAGATTCCTTTTGCTGTTTTACTTTGCTCAATATGGCAAGATTCTTACAGATTTTCTTTTTTGTTGAAGCAACGTGTCGCTTCCATTTTAGGTTTTCATCAATAATGACTCCTAAGAAATGAATTTCGGAAACCCTTTCGATTTTAACACCATTAAAATATAAATCAATATCTTCCACCCTTTTTTGATTGGTGAACAGCATGAACTTGGTTTTGCTTACATTTAAGGAGAGTTTGTTGGCATTAAACCATTTTTGAAGTAGGACCATTTCTTTTTCAATAGTAGTAATTAAAGTACTTATATTCGTCCCAGAACAAAAGAAATTTGTGTCATCTGCAAATAGTGCAAAATTAAGTATTTTAGACACATCACAAAGGTCATTAATATACAAAAGGAAAAATTTTGGCCCCAAAACAGACCCTTGTGGTACACCACACTTTATCTGCTGACTCTTTGATAGGTGTCCTGCAAAATCTACATACTGTTGACGATTTTCCAAGTAACTGGCAACCCATTGCAACACGACACCTCTAATTCCATAAGACTGTAATTTATTGAGAAGAATGTGATGGTCAACAGTATCAAAAGCCTTTTTCAGATCAATAAAGACTCCGATTGTGTAATTTTCTTTATCTAATTCAGTTGTAATGTCCTCTGTTATTTTCATGAGTGCAAGGGCTGTTGACCTATTACTCCTGAAGCCATATTGACTGTCATTTAACAGAAAAAATCTTTCAATAAACTTGTCAAACCTATCGATAAAAAGCTTCTCTAGTATCTTGGAAAATTGGGAGAGCAACGATATAGGTCGATAGTTTGTCAGACTGTGCTTATCACCCGATTTGAAGATGGGGATTATTTTCGCTACCTTCATTTTGTCTGGAAAAACGCCAGTGTTAAAAGAAAGATTAATAATAGGTTTCAATGGTTTGCAGATGCAATCAATAGATCTTTTCACAATGAACATATCTAAACCATCACTATCACCTGATTTTTTATTTTTCATTTTAGAGATGCAGGCAATAATTTCAGTTTCACTGACTTCATCCAGATATAAGGATTGCATAACTTTATTTTCATGGTTCCAATTATCTTCATTGTGATTTGTCATTTGAATTGATCTGGCAAGGTTAGGGCCAACATTAACAAAGAAAGAATTCAGTGCATCTGCCATTTCTGTGGGATCCATCTGTCTGCCCTGTTCATTAACCAAGAAGGATGGGTGACTGTGAATAACTTTATTGCCTATAACATGGTGTAGAACTTTCCACATTTCTTTGATATTACTTTTATTGTCTGATATGTTTGAATAATAATCTTTACTTATATTACGCTTGATACTGGTCAATTTGTTTTTATACTCTTTGTATCTTTTATAAGCATTTGGTGTTCTCAATTTTAAGGAATCTTTGTAGAGTTTGTTTTTATTTTTGCATGCTCTTAATATCCCCCTTGTTAACCAGGGCTTCTCATAATTTTTTGGTTTATCTTCAAATATTTTTTATTCTCCATCAATGGAAGTCGGTGGAGAAGGTCTCGTGGTGGTCTCAAACCCACGACTACCAGGCTCAAAGGCCAATTCTCTACCAACTGAGCCACTGTCGCCACTTAGTCATTGTGCTCGGTGGCGCTTGGGACAGCCATGGGGGCAAAAATAATGGCGAAACCATATGGCCGAGTTTCACACATATTTAACAAATATGGGCGAGTTTCGCATCTCCAACCAAATGTTTGAGGGGTTTCCCTAACCCCCAAGCTCAATGCTAACTCACTTGCACAGTGCTAACCCACTAGCACAATGCTAACCTACTGTATGAGTGCAATTTGCTCAATGAAGTACAGTGGGGCCTCTCCCCTCCTCGCTTATCCTTTCTACTCCTCTCTTTTCTCTCCTCCTCTTGTAGCAAAGGACACATAAATCAGTTCAGAAGTTTTATTAGAGCTTGAGAGTGAAACATGCAACATCACTGTGATATTTGTTTGTGTATGTGCGACATCACAAGACAGTCATGAGTTAAGTTTTATAGTCAACATGATCTGGAACCAAGCGTTTCAAAGTAAAGTCTGTTTGATGGTATTTAGGTCATCTTTATTTATATAACACAGAGTTCTGTGATTCTCTCTGCTCCACCACCATCATCATCATCTCTCATTCTTCAGGAAGAACACGCAAACTTCACACAAAAAGACCTGGAGGTGGAATCGAACCCAGGACCTTCTGCTTTCAACCTTCTGCTTTCCCTCCCTCACCCATTTCACCCTCTTCACCATCTGAGCTAACAAATAGATTAATATAAAGTTTTCATAAATCTCAGCAGAAAAGTGGAAAGTATTTCCAAAGTGGTAAATAGAAAGCTCCTCTCTGAGTAATTCTAAACTGTAGCATTACTGCTGATATTGCAGTACTCCTGCTCACTCCTGCAGTACTCAGACAGGGCACTTGTAGTAGCGATTCACTCGCAGGAAGTCGTTGTCGCTCGCAGATTTTGCGATTCCAAGCATCAACTTCGGGTTTTCCTTGGATGTCAGAGTCATCTCCCTGTTACTGGTCCAGGCCCAACTGAAGAGGAGGATGAGGAGAACACGGTTTTAGAAGAAGCTGTAGCAGTAGCAGTAGTAGCAGTAGCAGTAGCAGTAGCAGTAGTAGCAGTAGCAGTAGCAGTAGTAGTAGTAATAGTAGTAGTATTAGTTGCAATAACAGTAACAGTAGAAGTTGCAGTAGCAATAGCAGCAGTAGTAGTATCAGTAGTAGTAGTAGTAGCCGTAGCTGCAGTAACAGTAGCAGAGGAAGTAGCAGCAGTAGTAGTAGTGATAGAGGTACTTGTACTCACTTCTGGTACTGCATGACAGAGTCAAAGTCGTAGGGCGTGTACAGGTTGTTGGTTCTGTATTTTTTGAAGTTGTGCTTTTTATCTGAGAGACAATCAGACAAACTACAAATATCCTCCTGTCTTCTCTTTCCTCCCCTTTCTCCTCCTGTCTCCTCCTTCTGTCTTGTCTCTCCTCCTCTGTCTCCTCCTCGATCTCCTCCTCCTGTCTCTCCTCCTCTTGTCCCCTCCTCTGTCAAGATTTAAGAATTTATTTGCCATTTGCAGTAAAACCCCATTGGAAAAACTGCAAGACTACCCCAGTGTGCACCAGACAGAGAAATTGTGCAAGACTACCTCCTCCTGGCTCCCCTGTCTCCTCCTCTGTCTCCTGCTCTCTCTCCTGCTCCTGTCTTCTCCTCCTGTCTCCTGCTCCTGTCTCTACCTCTGTATCCTCCTGTCTCCTCCTCTGTTTTCGTCTCCTGTCTCTTCCTGTCTCCTTCTCTGTCTCCTTCTCTGTCTCCTCCTACAGTCTCTTCCTCTATCTCCTTCTCCTGTCCGGGTCACATGACTCACCTGGCAGGATGTTCTCGTAGTGTACGGTCACATGATCGTCGCGGTCAGAGCGGGAGTGTTCGTGGGTGAACCCGAGTGCGTGGAAGAGCTCATGTTGGACGGTTGCCGTGGTGAGACAGGCGGAGGAGAGAGAGAGGGACTGACGCCGATAGTACAGCACCCTGCCGATGTACGACCAGCACCTGCAGAGAGTACTGTAAGTACTGGAGTTCTACAGAGTACTACAGAGTACTAGAGTACTGTACTTTATTCAGAGACAGAGGTCAGGGTCAGAGACAGAGACAGAGGTCAGAGTCTGAGGTCAGAGTCTGAGGTCAGAGTCTGAGGTCAGAGTCAGAGACAGAGGTCAGAGTAACTGCTAATTTACACATCACGCGTTACAGCACGTACGCGTTATACGCGCAGCAGACGCGCGTTACTTTTTTCCATGTTAACTTATGATGATATTTACACTTCTAGCGTATGAGGGAGGAATGACGCGAAGCTGCGCTCTAATTTAGGATGGATTTCTAATTTTGTGCATGCACCAACGTGTCTCCCATTGAAATCTCATGTAAAACATGATTTTTCTAGCGGTCCTTGGCTCTAGCACTTGTGTCTAAACATCAGCAGGAGGAGCAGCAGGTTTTACAGTGATTCTGGACATCGTTTTTTTTCTTTCATAAAGTCTGGCGTCTGGCCAAACCAGCGCACAGAGACCATGAGGACAAACACATGCATGTGATTTGTGTTGCTCTACATCAGTCCTCTGGCCCGTACTGTCCTCGACACTGCTCCATAGACTACACAGGGACAGCATCAGAAGCCACGGACCTGCGCGCACGGTCAGTGTAAATACTCCAAAAAAATGTTACGCGCAGAGAGCGCGCAGTAAATTCCCTGTAAGGGTCAGAGGTCAGAGTCAGAGATAACCAAGAGTTTCAAGAATATCCAGGTTACAGATTTGACCCCTGACTCACTGTATTTATTGCTGAAGTGGTAGTAGATAGAGACGTATTTTCCATATTTGGGCCATTTACAGGACGAGCAGTGGAGCGCGTTTCTTCGACCGTCGGACTTAACGTCACCTTCAGTCATCGCAGACTCTGAGAACAAATATTGCAAATATTACTAATACTGCATATACTACTGATGCTACAACTACAAATGTTTCTACTACTACTACTACTACTTCAACAAACTCACCGATGTCCTTGTTGGCTTTGGCGATGATGTCACTCACACTTTCATTATCTGAAAAACAGGGACTTCCACAGTTACATCAGCTACATTCCACCAGGAGGAATGGGCCAGAATCACAGACAACTATTGTAAGGAGCAAAGTGGGCATTACTATCACTTTGGAGCGTATATCAGGAGTGGACTGACAGAGTGTGACATCACCTCCTCTCACCTGGCTCAGTCGGCTCTGGTTCAGTTATGGCGTTCGCTATAGGGTCCAGGTTTGGTGCCCTTGAGCCAATCTGAAAACAAGTGTGAGTTTGAAAATAAATCTTCACAAACACATGTGAAGACGATGTGTTTGTTTCGACCGTATCGTTTTGAAGATAGATATTTTATTAATCCCCCGTAGGAGAAATTCAGTGGTCCAGTAGCAGCAGAAACTAACGCATAAAACAACATCTGTTTCAAAGCTACTTAGGACTTGCTGCCGTTCCCAGCAGATTCAACATTGAAAGCTTTATACATAAATACTGAATCGGTTCTGTAAAGGTATCGTCCACACAAAGCTGAAAAAGGAATCCACTTCAGACACCAGACTCTCTCTGGTCTCGCTTTCTGGTCTCTCTATGGTCTCTCTATTGTCTATCTCTGGTCTCTCTCTGGTTTCTCTCTCTGGTGTCACTCTCTGGTCTCTCTATCCTGTCTCCGTCTGGTTTCTCTCTCTGGTCTATCTATTGTTACTTTGTGGTCTCTCTATCTGGTCTCCCTCTCCATGCACCCAGCCTGGAGGGGGTTAAACACAACTGCAATAAACTCTTTGTGACGGCAGGCTCTTACCGTCTGTGACATCGTCAATGACATCATCAGGGCGAGCGGGAGGAGCGCTGTGGCTTGAACACCTGCAAGCACCCACCATTTATATGCACAAGGAGGGGGTGTGGCTACGAGCGTGGTGACGGCGGGGCTCCTGATGGAAAGCCACGCCCATCACATTCCACTTCATTCACAGCGAGTAAAACGTTAGAAATGAAGAAACATCAAATATTTACAGATCTGACCTGCTTCAAATACCCCAAAATATGAGCTCTGTGTACACCTGTCTCCCGGTGTCTCCCTGGGGGACAGGTGTCACCACGCAGCCACACCCCTCAGTATGTGAACTGACCAATCCCCTGAATTGTATTCTAACACATAACAGCGACATTGTAGTTGTGAGGTTCTGACTTTGGGGGTCTTTCTGGCTGTGGACCCTGTATAGCTGAAAGTTTCATGCCCTCTCCCCAACACACACACACACGAACACACACGCATACAATCATAGACAGACACGTACAGTACAGTACCGTACACACGCTGTGTTTAACCAGATTCCTCCACGTGAACAGGTTCAGACTGTGAGATTACTGGAAGAATTCACATGTTCTGTGCGATGGGAACACCTTACAGTAAACACGTGAATTCTTATATAAACGTCACACACACACACATACAAGGAACATGTAAGTAAAGACATGAAAATATAATTCTAATAGTAAATTCACACAATAGACATTTTAAAGTGCTAAAATAAAAAGTGCTAAGTGCTGTTAAGGTACTTCACTGTCAGGATGAATTTAGTTTTCTTTAATCTTTTGTTAAATATACTTCAGCATGTGAGTAGTGTGAGCAAGAACAAACTATTGGTTGGCTTTTAGGTTGTTGCTACCGTCAAACGCCAGAGATGATCACAGATTCACACAAAAGGCCCATGGTCCCCCTCCGGATGTGCACCCTGTAAAGTCAAAGATGCAATCCTCGACCCGGTGGAGGCTGTGTTTCCCTCGGAGTGGCCTGGAGATTGGCATGTAAGCAGGATTCAATAAATTGTTGGTAACATTCACACACAGGAAAAACTACAGTAACTCACATTCTTTCAGCTCTCTATGGTGAGACAAGAGTGACATCAAAGAGTTCAAGAGAAAGTTGTAGATTAATACGAGAGGGGTCCAGAGATGGGTATCATCATTCCAAAGAATGAGGTCTTCATTTTAATTCTCCTACTTTACTTTTATACACATACTCTGGGCACAAGGCCACAAGTGATACAGTCAGCTCCTTTACCACAACACATGGTAAACAGAATGACAAAAGCAAAATAACCAATTTACCTTTTCAAACGTATATTTAGGTATACGTTTGAAAAGCCTACTTTACTAGCTTATACTAAAGTCACTCATTTTGTAAGTTGCTAAATATGTTTGTCTCTATCATGCAGAACATTGATCCTGTGCATGTGAGCTGTTGACAGAGACCTGTGGAACAAACTCCTCTTTCTCAGTAGAACAGTAGAACTCACAGACACCTACACGTGTCCTGTACATTCACTTAGTTCAGCAGAAACCTGTTCTCCAGCTCTCTGCTGTTGAAGACACTATGGAGGACCAAGTATATATATATTTATATGTTTATATATATATATGTGTGTGTGTAATCATGAAATGTAATAATGATTAATCGTCAATTGTTTTTACTTGACTGCAAACACCTAATGATACTTATATGACCATCTATATATATATTATATATTAGGGCTGGGACTCGATTAAAAAAAATTATCTAATTAATTAGAGGCTTTGTAATGAATTAATCTCGATTAATCGCATATAAATATTTGTCCTGAGACCAGTGAGAAGTATTTTTTTTCACACGGATTTTTAGTTTATCATTGAATAATGACTGAATACTTAAGCAACACATGTTCATTGTGGAGGATAACGTTTCTGTCATCGCCTCCACACACTCTGTTCACAACATACACTTCCATCCATCCATCTTCTTCCCCTTAATCCATTTCTGGGTCGGGGGAGTGAAAGTCAGAGCTGCACCCAGTACACAGAGCACCAGCCCCTCACTGATCCTCCTGCAGGTGGTGAGTCCACAGGAGCTGAGATCTTTCAGTGGGAGCTTCAGGCAAAGTGGGGTTAAGTGTCTTGCCCAAGGACACAACAACAGCAGTCATCAGTGGGAGTGGGAGTAGGTGGGCTTGAACCCTCGACCTTCAGGCCCAAAGGCCAATGCTCTACCAACTGAGCTACTGTCGCACACTTCTTAAGCCTAAAATCCACTGCACTCGAAGTGAGTACAAAAGCTTATAATACGTTTTTGATGTGTGCATTTGAACTAAAACAGGGGTGCTCACACTTTTTCAGCTTGCGAGCTACTTATAAAATGATCAAGTCAAAATGATCTACCTACTACAAAATGCAAAACATATATTTATTTATAAATATATTGAGGATTCTTTACATCAACATACATTGTAGATATACATACAAAACCGCATGATTTATGAAATAATTTGCATTCAAGCACCGCCTCTGGCGGTCATCCAGGATTCATAGTTCCATAGTTACATTCGTAACTTTCGTTCTGTAGCGGCACTTAACTTACAGTCATAGTAGAAACTCAGGGTGAAGACGTATGTTTACAAGCATTGACCCCAGTCCTCAGCCCTGGTTTGATCCTGGTTTAGCTCCTGTTAGTTGTTTTGGAGCCTGAGTCCCTGTGATCACTTTGCTGCTCTCTGATGTGGAGCGAGGATCGCTGCTGTTTCTGGACCGAGATTTCCGAGGTTGTTCCAGGGATCCGCTGTAAACACTCCTCCACCACTCTACCACCACAATGTCAGGTTTGTTCGCCATTACCAATCGGTCGGTCTGTATCTGGAAGTCCCACAGGACCTTTGCACGCTCATTCTCCACCACCTTTGAAGAAGTCTCCAATTTAGACCTTGTGGTTTCCAGCCCATGCTCTGCACAGATGTTTCTGTACACTATACCAGCCACTTGGTTATGGCGTTCCATGTAGGCCTTCCCTGCCAGCATCTTGCACCCTGCAGTTATGTGTTGGATCGTCTCAGGTGCCTCTTTGCACAACCGACACCTTGGTCTTGTCTGGTGTGGTATATCTGGGCCTCTATCGCTCTGGTGCTCAGGGCCTGCTCCTGTGCAGCCATGATGAGTGCCTCTGTGCTGTCCTGTAGGCCAGCCCTTTCTAGCCTTTGGTAGGACTTCTTGAGATCAGCCAGTTCTGTTATGCTCTGGTGGAACATGCCGTGTAGGGGCTTGTCCTCCCATGATGGGCCTCCTCCAGCACCTCCTCATCTCGCCAGTGTCTGAGACATTCACTGAGTACGTCATCCGTTTTGGCCTTCTCCATGATGTAGTTATGGAGTTTGGATGTTTCGCCATGCGCAGAACCCTCAAGCTCCCAGGCCTCTGGTAGAGGACCTGAGCTTAAACAACAACAAGTTATTCTTGTATAGTCCTAAATCACAACAGCAGTCATCTCAGAGGACTTAACAAAACCATTGAAATCACCAACACAGATCAGAGAATCAACAGTTAAGACAGAAAAATTATCCCTCGCCGGAGTCCGCAGAAGTGTGGATCGTCATTATTATAGACAGAGGCGTCCTTTGCCATTAGGCAAGGCAGGCAGCTGCCTGGGGCCCCCTAACCGCCAGGGGGCCCCCGAGGGCCGACTGATTTGACACACAAGCGGTCGACTTGTACAGGCTACAACAGCTACCTGCAGTGACGAGTTGGCGGTTAAAACTTTTCCTCTCATGCGAAACTTGTCACGTTTTTCCTTTATATTTAAAGAGCCTTTCTGGGGCAGTCTGCCTTGAATGAAATGGTGGTCCAGTGGTTCAGATGCAGCGCTCGCAACGCGGTGGGCCAGGTTTGAACCTGGGTGAGGGCAGTATTTTGGATAACAGATTGCTCAAGAACGGTAGAAGGTAATAACAAGCCATTTTTTGCAGATTAAAGCTAAGAGCCTGATTTTTCATTTAGACTAAACACTGAGGGCCAAATGAAAGATTAGATTTTATAGGATGGATACACTTTGAGAGGTAGTTTTTGTAATTAATCATAACATCATGAGTGTCGTGAACAAGATTATAAAAAGACATGCTAAATTATTTCTAATTGTGTCACGATAAGTACTGAAGTACTCAGTTTTCTATGGTAGTCTGCCAGGCAGGCCCCAGGCCTATCCATTTGTGGTAAAAAATTATCTACATTTAATTTATATTAATGTAAACAAGTAATAGATATTGCATTTTATCTTATCAAATATATATTTATACCTACAGTAATATAAACCTTTTTATGTGGTTATGTGGTTGGTATCGGGGCCCCCAAGGACTCTGTTGCGTGGGGCCCCGGGGAACGCCACTGATAATAGATCCATGGTGTGGATCAGGGGCGCAAAGGGGGCGGGGCCAAAGACCTCCCTGGTAACACCCTACGCACTCCCACCCATCATCGGGAACGCGCAAATGAGTGTGAGGGCCAGTATGTGCGCTGCAACATTGAAATTTCCCCACTGTGGGACAAATAAAGGGTCTTTTTTCCGCCTTGACATGAAGATAGTTTCCTGTTCTCAGCGTGGTCCACCACCTCACTGCATCCCCTCAGAGCTCAGTTCTAGAATCCCTACTCTTCCATATTTATGAACAGTGGTCTATGATTTATTGAAGGGTCACATTCTAAAAATAACCAACAAATGAAATCTTTGAAATAGATGCTATATAGACACATCTCATTTGCCGATAAGACATTAGCTGTTGTTTATTTACTGAACAAATTAGACACACACACACCTCATTAGCAGATACTAATATACAGTCAAACGTTTCTTTTGGGCCGTTTTTATTTCACAATTTCCAAATGTACAAAAGAAAAAGACATTTCATAAAACAAAAAAAATCTCTGCGAACTCAGTGCCACCGACCAATCAGAGTGCTTCTCTCCTGCTAAGGTCCGCCTCATTGGTTAAAAAAGCCGGACTTCCTGCGGTCGCTGGGCGGTTTCTGTGTGGGCTCCATTCTGATTGGACAAGGTGTCTTTTAAGGTGATAGATTCAGTCCATTATCCCTTTAAAGCAGTTTAGGCGGGGCTTCGGAACAGGAAGTCAGTTGGTCTTTTAGGCTGTATGCATTTTGTAGTCCCGTAGTTAAAATGTTTATAGTCCTGTAAGTCAGAGGGACCATGTTTGTAGTCCTGTAAGTCAGAGGGACCATGTTTGTAGTCCTGTAAGTCAGAGGGACCATGTTTGTAGTCCTGTAAGTCAGAGGGACCATGTTTGTAGTCCTGTAAGTCAGAGGGCCCATGTTTGTAGTCCTGTAAGTCAGAGGGCCCATGTTTGTAGTCCTATAGTCAGAGCAGACCAGGTTTGTAGCCTTTAGAACTCAGTCTTCTTTTTCTTTGGTTCTTCAGGTAACACCAGAGGGTTGGATGCTTCACGTTTCAGATATGAAATGAAGTCGCTGACCTCACGACCGCCCTGTAAACAATAAAAACATTAAACAGACCGCTCTAAAAAGGATCCGCACACACATATTAATGTCATAGAGGTGTGTGTAAGACTCACGTTGTATTTCTTGGGGCTAGTTTTCTGCCCGGCTGGAGAGAAGTAAAGTGTGGGGAAACTGTAGGAGAGAAGAGAATTTAAAAAAAGACGAATCAACCAACACACACACACACACACACACACTGACCCGCTGACTTCGTACGGCGAGGGCACATCATTCGCAGTGGCGTCCATCTTGGCAATGACCAGGTTGGGATTTGAGGAGAGCTGCAGGCACAGGTTACCACCAAATAAAGAAGGACTTAATTTTGTTTCAGTCTTTGACTTTTATCTAAAGTATAACAGTACAAGTTCTAATAATTATGATAGATCAAAGCAGCAAACCTTCTCTCCCAGCTCCTTGTACTTAGGCTCCAGAGTTTTGCAGTGACCGCACCACGGAGCGTAAAACTCTATGAGGACATCTTTGGACTCATCGTTCACAATTGAGTCGAAGTTTTCAGCCACAAGAACCTGAAGAAGAACCAGACAGAGCGGGACAGAGTCAGATCCAATAATTACTTTGTCTCTTGAGGGAGAAATGTGTCTTGGAGCGGGGGGGGGAGATACAAACCTAAAAAGAAGAAGAAAAAAAAAAAAAAGCCGCAAGCGGCGTTGAACGGCCCTCGCCGCACCGCACGACTCCTTGCACCGCGCGCACCACCCCGTGCCACGCAGCCCCAAGCCACCCCGCCCTACACCACGCAGTCCCGCGTCACACCAAGCGGCAAAAAATAATGTCTAAAATGGCCAAAAAAAACCTCACATTTTGCCGCTCCGCTGCTCAAACTAGGTTTTTTTTCTCCATTTTGCAATGAAATGGCCTCCGGTTTGTCAGAGGGCGAAGCCATGATAACATTTCGGTCGTATCTTGACTTGAGGAACATGTGTACCGAATTTCATGGCTCTACGACAAACTTGACCTCTGAAACTCCCATTGGCTGTTGTAGGTGGCGCTGTTCTGGCATTTTTTGAGTCCCATAAAAATAAACACCAAAATATCAAATTTTTCACCAGGTCTGATGTTTGGGCAAAATTTTACAACTTTTCATGCATGTTCAGGGGGTGAAATGAAGGCTCAAAGTGCAGAATTTGACATCTCTCGAGCAAAAACAATAGGCCCTTTCCCCGTTCGGGGCTCGGGCCTAAAAACAGACAATACACACATTACATTTGTTGACACTAATGCACAATCACCTGATGTTATTCAGCAGCCGTATGGACTGAGGTACAAAAGAGTTCTTAAACCTATTGCTTTTTCACAGTGGGATCCTGTACCTCCTGTGAGATTTCATAACACTTTTAAGCAACTTTTGTTAAAGTTAAACTCATCATTCTACCAATGTGCAGAAGCCTGTACTTTTCCACTTCATGTTTTGACTATCTCTGCTGGCACTGTGGCAGCTGCTGATTGGAGGTCTCCATGCCTCCGCTCTGTATAATACACTTGCATTCTGTTGTATCTGTGTTCGTGTGCTTTGTTCGTGCTGTCTCTACCATTGACAACAAAACCTGTCTTCTGTCTGAATTAAAAACGCGATCCCAGACTTTGTAATCTTCTTCACTCCTCCCAAACCACTACTCAAAAAGAGCTCAAAAAGAGTCTGAGGCGAGAGCAGAGTGGACAGCGACACTCCCATGATCTTCCCAGTCTGGTCCCTCCCTCCCACTCTCCGCACCCTTTCCACACCTTCACTGGTCCATCGTTGTCCTCTGGTACCGGCTCAGACTTCAGGTATCTCTTCAGTTTCCCGTCCACATAATCCTGAAGAAAACTCTCCAGAGCTTTACCGTCCCGCCTGCAAACAGGGTCAGAGGTCAGGCTAACCAGCTTTAAAATGATGTACCCCGGAATTAAGAATGTACCCCCGTAACTCACGTGAACTCTTGGCTCATTACATATTTGTCTCCGCGTGCAGTACGGATGGCCACAAGGGGGAGCTCTCCACTGCCCGCATCTAATCCGAACTCTGACAGGTCCTGCAGGAACGAGTTCTTATTGGCCACAGCAAAGGAGAGAGAGGAACCGACAAAGGCCTGGGCCACCTTCATCACTCTGAGGAAGAGGAGGAGAGATGTTAGAGAAGCCTGGGTCACCTTAACCATGCTGGGGAAGAGGAGGAGATAGAGGCAGACCTGTGCCTCCATCACTAACACATGTAGTTCACCTGTTCCTCCAGTAGTTGGAGCCCTTGGGGTTCTTGACGTAGTCCACGTCATAATAAACCACACACAAGTCCCGGCCCTTAAGCTGGTCTTTGTTGTCATCGGTCATGTGAGGACACATCCCCCATCTGCGACAGAATTATATAAGCTTTAATTTGATGTACCCCAGCTTTAGTGTTACTACTGCAGTACTCCTGTAAGGACACATGTCCATCTGAAACAGGGATAGCAGTAGTACCAGTAGCATTAGCAACAGCACTCACATGTTTTCCTGGATGAACTTCTTCAGTTTGTTGCTACTGAACTTCTCTTCACTGAACGTCACCGTGGATTCTTCAAACTTGTTCTGGAGTTTCTTTGGTCTGAACAGAACCACTCCCCTAAAAGAGAACAACCAATCAGTGACCCGGCCCCTACAGAAGGAGATCCAAACTAAATTTGCAACATGATTTTAGATATTGCAATTTTGCATGTTAACCAATAAAAAGTGTGTGATTAAACTGCGGTTTGAGTAATACATGTAACTGAATGATTGAAAGATGAATGATTTCGGGAAGTGAAAAACAGGTCTGAGGCGTACCTCAGCTAGTCCCAAGTCTTGACACGAGAGGGCGATGTTTGATATTACACTGACTTGCTTGCAATCCAATTCCTAGCCCGGAAAGACAATTATTCATTGCCTTCTTTCCTCTCTAAAAGCTTTACAGTGTGGTCCAAAAGTCGGCTCTTGGTTCAACGCTACGTTCCAGATGAGCGTCAATGCTGAGGGGAATATTAATTTAGCTGCTCGTTTCTCACATTTTCCTGCAGGATGAGCTGCCCTCAGCCATTTTTTATCTACCCATGTCTGTAGCATATACATTTCCTGTGTTGTGCCAGTTCACAGATTTGTTGAACTAGTTCAAAGTTCAGTTCATTTTACTTTATTCATGAGCTCTTCAAATGAACACTTTTCACACTACAAGCTAGATATCACAATACGTATACATCTATCCTGTACACCGCACAGGATGAGAGCCTTTTGACTCCAAAACAGACAAGATTTACATGGTTTTCAATGTGAGCAAAACTGAGTTGTCCCATCTCTGCTCATAAATACTACAAACTGAACTGCGCTGCAGTACGAGTGTCTGTACTTTATGTCAAATGTAAACGGTTGGCCCTGTGTCGTTACCCTTTGTTTCCATCACGACTCGGGCACATGTGAGCCCAACAACCAACGAAAAGCACTAGCATACAGCGCCGCACCGCAATACAGAGCCGGGGTGCGTTCACAGACGGTGAAAACCGTAGGAATTTTTTGTTTTTGGCAGAAAAAGTGCAGAAGATTCTCAAGATATGCACATTATTACATTGCTGTCTTCCGAGGGAGGGCACTGGGGATAGGGTTGCCAACTTGAAAACAAAAAAATAAGGGACACCATTTGGGTGGATCAGTTTGAGCACTTTTTAGTCCTAATTTCAGTCTACACAGTAATCATGGGTAATTTATTGACTACATATAAAAAACAAATCCTTAGTCAAAAATGAAATTGAATAAATAGGTGGAACTCTTTGGCTGGTTAAGGACGTAATGCATTCTTATTACTAATAAAAAATATAAAAAAGACAAATGCTGTAACATACATTATGTATGTTACAGTAAAGACCATTTGCTGTAAAAGCAAATAAAAAAGAAAAACATGTATTCATTAAAAAAACTCACAAATGTTGAAATCAAAGTCTGTAGCAGTTAGACATGGTCATTATTTATATTTTCTGAGAGTTTCGTGCGTGTTCATGGCTTCAGTAAAAGCTATTGTTCGTTTACAAAGCTGGTCTGGACATTTGTTGACGGTCCCTAAGTGCTTTTCTCGGCGCTTGCAGTGCATTGGATTCAATGGATTTCTCTGCAGCGCATTGGATTTGAAAAAAATCAACGTAGAGATGATCATTTTAGCACAGTGACTTTTTTTTTTTTTTTAACAAAGTAGCTTTCGTGAACTATTGACCTCGGAAGTCCGGATCTAGGAATATGGCGCTACTTTACCCCATAGACTGTATCTTTACCCATGAAACTTCTGTGATGATGCTGCGGAAGCGGTCCACGCTGGCGCCTGTCAACATTAAACCAACGTCTGTGATCAAGCCTACGCCCCTTTGACACTGATTGGCCGAAAGGTAAACGCTTAAAATGTGATTACTTTGTGTGTGTTGTGTGCGCGTGTGTGACATGCAGTGAGTGAGTGATGCATTTAAGGTGGCTCTGAAAATACGGAACAAAAGCCGTCCCGTATCGATTCAATACGGGACGCACATAGTTTTTCTATAATACGGGACAATTCCGTATTTCAAGGGACGGTTGGCAGCCCTAACTGGGGATGGCAAGGGTATTTTTTGAGGTGGCAGTGGCCACCCCTCTGTCTCCACCACTGGTCTGGTGATACACGATTTAAAAGGCACCAGCGAGAATACAGGAGGGAGGAACTTTCTCTCTCTGCGTTTCAAAAGCGAAAACAGATGTCACTCAGTTTTCAATGGAAAACAAATTCCAACGTTCATTTACAGTGATGTCTGCCGTTCATGACAAATAAAGGACACTTAAACATTCTACAACATGTGTGGACATTTTTCAACATGTGTTCCGTTTTGTGTTTTAACTGTTGATTCTCTGATCTGTGTTGGTGATTTGAATGGTTTTCTTAAGTCCTCAGAGATGACTTCTGTTGTGGTTTAGGGCTATACAAGAATAAATTGTATTGTATTGTGTAATGTGAACTAATTCACGTTCAAGTTCTTTATTTAAAAATGTGTTGCGTTCAGTTCAACGTTCACAAAAAAATGAGCATGTTCAATGAACGCGTTCTTTTGAACTCTTTTACGCACAACACTGTACATTTCAACGCCGGATATAGGCGTCACTACGTTCGTTAATATTATCAATCTATGGCCTCAGCCCAATACTTACTCTCCGTGAGCAGAGATCAACCCTTCGTCGTTGCTGTGAGCAAAGCGATAACTCTCCCTCAGAGAAGAAGCAGCTTTCATGAACTCCTGCTGCTCTGAAGAGGAGGAGGCGCTGAAGAACCCTGTAGGAGAGAGGAGACAACAACATGAGGAGGAGACGACGACGATATGAGGAGGACGACACAGGTAATGAGGGGAGGAGGCTCCATACCGATCACACTGGCGTCCTGGTCAGAGATGAACTTCTCCAGATCGTCCTCAGACTTCAGCTCCACAGACGCAGGACCGGCCTGTTTTTTCAGGAAACTCACGATGCCATCTGAAACAGAGACATCGTCATCTACAGCTCCCCCTGTGGTCATGTGAGAGACTACAGTGTGATCCAGTGCTTCAATAATTTTTCTGCCAGCCTGCTCGCAGCGGTGTATTAATTGTGTGCATAGGGCTGAGCGACGTGGATAAAAAAAAAAAAGAAAGTGTAATTGTAATTTATATATATAATTTAATTTAATATAAATAAATAAATAAATAAATAAATAAATAAATAAAAAAACACAGAGGCCCGTTTAATTGTTTAAAATGGTTCTTAAATACTGTGATCACAACAGGGAATCTAAACAAACATGCTGTTGTTGCTGTCCAAAAAAAATAAAAACAATCCAGGAGATAATTGACAAATTGAATCAGCGCGCAAGAGCTAGCTCCTGAGTCCCGCTCCTGAGTCCAGCGTTTGTCTATGGTACGGTCCTGTCCATCCACCACATAAACTTCTAGTGTTTTTTCTGCGGCTAAAAAGTAGAAAATTCTTAGGGTTTAAAGATATATCATGAATATCAGTATTTGGTTGCGGAAATACACGCACTTGCTACAAGCTCCAGGAAATGGACCTGTCCACTCGGCGTCCTGTTGTCAAAGCCGCAGTGCCCTGAAGGTCAGAACCAATGGGGGCGGGTCCCAGCTCAAAAGTGGCCAAAATGACGTGCGCTGACATGCTTGCAATACCACCCCGGGCCGATGGGGGTGGACCCAGAAGAAGAATTAGCCAATGCTAACATATAGCATTGGCAGACCTCTCAAAAACGTCTTTACAGGATGGACCAAAAGTTGGCTCTTGGCCCAAAGCTCCGTTCCACATGTGTGTCAATGCTGAGGGGGGTAGATTTTTATGGACCACTAGTTTATTCGCTGTGAATTTTTGAAGTCTCTCGTTCAAATGAATGAAGCTCTCACCGGCTGACGCATGCGCAGATGCGTTTTTTCACAATTCTATTGTGGACGGGACCACTCACGGGCATTTTGGATAGCTCCAACAGAGCACAATGTTTGGCCCATTAGTTAGAACGGCGGAGATATGCGTGACTGTCCTTTAATATATACAGTATATGGTCAGAACGCTGCGGCAACAGACGATGTGGAATCTCGTTTGAGTACTTACACAGCAAGTTCCCCAGGGTCACGTGCCCCCCCGGCATTGCACCACGCACCCCATTATTTGAGAAGCACTGGTGTAATCAGTTTATCTTTATTGTAGTGTTGACTGAGGGGGAGCGGCTTACAGCCGGACACAGCTGTTTGTTGAAGGAGGCGACGCAAACATAGATCTGATCATTTAGACCAGAGAGAGAGAGCGAGAGAGAGACCCATTTAAATACTCATTCAGCGTTTATAAATGTACAGGTCTTGTCACAGCAACAGTGAGGCTGCGTTTCCCAACCTGCAGAGCGCGGTCCCTCGTATGGCCCGCTTTCCTCTCCGTCTCTGAAGATCTTTAAGGTTGGATATCCATTCACTCCGTATTTACCGCACACCTCACTGTTGGCCGTGCAGTCCACCTTAAAAAACACACAAGCTGTTAGTACTGGTCTCTCTTTCTCCCTCTTCGGTCCATTTCTGATGAGGGTTTTGCAGCCTTAATACATACACTGCTACTTCAAAGATTTCACTTCTTGAGAGTTAAATCTAGACCATTACCCTGCAATAAACCAGGACCTTTTTTAGTCTGCAGTAATATAAAGGCGTTTCACATTTTGGGGAAAGACAATGGGCCTCATTCACGAACGGTTCTTAGGAACAGATTTGTACGTAAATCCTACTTACGCGGTTTTTACGAAGAAAGTGGCATTCACGAATTTTTCTCGTAACCAGAATTTCTCTTGGGCAAGTACAAATCCTACGAGTCCTCAGGAGCACTCGTACGCATTCAGTGCCGACATGTTCACACGCCGGGGTTGTCCTCTTTGGGGAAGTTTAATAAAAATACAACATTCCAGTGATATGTCAGTCATATTGATGTATGTATTTATTTATTTAAATGTTAATGGTAATTTAGCCTATTTTTTAATTCATTTTTAAATGAAATGTGCCAACGCTTTATCAAATACATTGGAAATCATACCGTGTATTACAGTAGTGATCCCATCCTATTTATAGGGGGCATTTCTTTATCCACGGGCCACAGAACAATGGAATATATACTGCTGCTGCAGGAGGCTGCGGGGTTCGCTCTGAGTCTCTGCACTGGTCTCTCCTATGGATCTATACGGGTCTGCACTGGTCTCTATGGATATATACGGGTCTGCACTGGTCTCTCCTATGGATCTATACGGATCTGCACTGGGGTCTCCCATGGATCTATACGGATCTGCACTGGGGTCTCCCATGGATCTATACGGGTCTGCGCTGGTCTCTCCCATGGCTCTAGACGGGTCTACACTGGTCTCTCCATCCGGGTCCGTGCTGCACGCTCCTGGATCCAAACGGGTCCGCGCTGGTCTCTCCAGTCTGGTCTATGCGGTCTCTCTTCTCCAGTCAGGTCTCTCAGTCTATGCGGTCTCTCCTATAAGTCCGCGCTGGTTTCTGTGTGCTGGTCACTCCAGTCTCTCCTCGGGTCTGCATTGGTCTCAGTGCTGGTCCGCGCTGGATCTCCTCCCAGGGTCCAACATATTTTTAGATTAATCTCAAAACATTTTGAGATGCATTTTTAAATTAATACATAATATATTTTTTAATTTATCTCATAGCATTTTGAGATTAATCTCATAATTTTGCTAGTTCGACTTCATTCTTATAATATTTCGACTTTTAAGTCAACATTTTATGACTTTAATCTCAGTCTGGCAAAAGAAGAAAAAAGGGTGACTCTTTTGCTCCGTGTAACTCTTTGCTTTAGGCCTGTTGCTGTTTCCTCTGGCGTCTGCACACGGCCCTGCATCCCCTTATATGGGCATTAGTGGGCGGTTACCTATGCTAAGTACCTATGCTAATGAAGCACCGGGCACGCGCGCTCTACTTACGAGGAGTTGGCATTCATCAATCTGAGAGAACAGCTGCGAACAATTCAGCGGCTTACGAGCGCGTTGATGAATCCCACGTAGGGTCTTCTTAGAAATCTACTTAAGAACGACTTGAGTAGAAATTTAAGAAGTTTCTTACGAAGTTATTCGTGAATGAGGCCCAATGTCTTTGCACAGACTTGAATCACAGCAATAGCAGATTTATACATTTATTAAAATATAACTCACCTTTGCCAGAGACACAACCCCTTTGAGTCGTGTGGCGGCCGCTTCGTACTCTGGGGCCAGACGTTTGCAGTGACCGCACCTGAACAAAGGGAGAGATTTAACCGTAAGTACGACAGAAACTATTTAGTTAAGTATCATAAATGACATTGATAAAAGTAAAGTCAGACCACAAGATGCAGTCTTCACCTCATTAGACTAGTGATAGTGATAGAAGCAACTGTTTCAGAGCCAGGAGCCAGAATTCTGTTGTATGTAACTTTCAGACCACACCCAGATTTGAAAAAGGTACAGAACCAAACTATAAATCCAGCTCTTAGAAGTCATTTGTGGATACTTCCAGTGATCATAAACCGGGTTTAGACCTCGAGAAACCGGCTTAACCGGATATGAAATTTGCAACTAGACAATTTGAAATATTATAACGTCAGCTCAGCTGAATAATTTGTTTATAACAGGAGAGAGATGAGAGACGACAGAGATAGAGAGAGTGCAATAGAGAGAGAGAACAGAGAGAGAGACCAGAGAGGGGTTGAATTTCAGGTAAGAACGACACAAACCGGATCACCTGCAGTTCTCGTTTTCCTTCTTTTGTTCAGAGACATGACCGCTCTGAGTGTGGAGACAAACTTCATAGTTGAAATGTGACAATGATCAACCGACCCACAGGTGCAAAACCAGGTCTCTTTGGTGAGTGTCCTTGAGCAAGACATTCAACCCGCCTTGCAATGTGCAGAAAAGTGCAGCATGTGTGAAAATGTAAACCATTGTTTAAGAAGTTTGTTTCTTCTATTGTTAAAGCACAACCAAAGTGTATCTGACGAATAACATTGACATATTTCTCCAATTGTATGTTATCTGACCACAGCCATAACAGTGTAGTAAATAGGACTTTATTTTCAGTTGTACATAAAAATGAAATACATTAAATTCACACAAATTAATATAGAAAATGAGACACTATTTTCAAAAAGTATTTCTTAAAAATGTGTCCCATTAAAACCACGTTGAGCTAATGCACCAATCAGCAACGGACACCAAAGCACTTGCAGCCAATCAGATCATTACAGCAGCATCACGTCCCGCCCACCTCTTCCTGGTTTTTCTTTTCGCATTTTACCCGAAAATAAAACTTAGGTCGTCACCGTGTTTATAATATATTTGTTCCAAGTAAAATATTCAATTAAAAATGAATTTTGTAAATGACGTTAGGCAACAGTTTTAGAAAAGAAGCGAGGCGAGATCTGCAGTCATTAGGGTTATACACGAGAAGGAAAGAAACACATTAAATCCACGATAGAGCAGAGAAACCACACTCACAAACACACAGAGAGCGAGAGAGGGGGAGGAATACACAGGGACGAAACACAAAGTGAAACTAAACAGTCAGTTTTAAATATGCATACAATTAAGTACATTTGGACTAAAGAAAGAACCGCAACTGCATGGGTCTGAAAAACACAGGTATTCGCAAATATATCAATTACTTCAATAGAATCTTGAATGGGACAAGGCTCTAACGCGAGTGTCCCGAATGCAAAGCCATTTTCGCCAGATTCAACCTCTTACGGTCTTGCTTGGACTCACTGCAAGCCTATAATACAGTAAGGTTGAGCTAAGTGTGTTTAATTATGTTAAAACTGACCATGGTGCGTAGAACTCCACGAGTATCAGGCCGTGATCGTCGATGCGGGAGGCGAAGTCATCATCCGTGAGATCCAGGACGTCAGAGCCGAGGACAGATGCGCTGAGGGCGGACAGTAGGAGCACGCAGAGCCGGTGCATGGTGGCGGGTCAACGGGAGAGTCTGGAGGTCCCGGGAAGCGCGCAGGTTTAAGCCGAGAAGAGTAGCTCGGGAGGCGGACACACGATGCGGAAGTCAGCCCCCTGGAACCGGAGTGTGGCAGCGCGCGACTGGAACAAACACGAGTCAGTCAAAGTGCAGCTGGCCAATCAGCGGAGAGCAGGTGAGCAGGTCCCGCCTTCAGGAGACACAGGGATTTATTTTAATTGATGTGTATGTGTTAATCAATGATTATTCAAATGAAGTCATGTTGCTGAACTTCTTAAAATGCACACTGGCAGCGGAGTTTATTTAGCTGTAATTAGTCATTTTTTTATTATGCTGTCCATGGGGAAAAGTACCATTGTGAAGTACTGGAGTAAAAGTACAGATATAGTAAGTACTCCCATACTGACGCAAAGGAATATGCATTTGTATATATACAGTCTATGATTTGTACGTAGGAAGTATTTGTATAAAAGTATAAATACAAAGTTTATGAAACACAGGAGTTCTACTGATGAACATAACTGTGTCCAGTCCAACTGTCTCCCAAAGGATTCTAAATAAACAGTGATTATAGATGTTATTACTGTTTGTTATTAAAGCAAAACATTTTTGCTCACTATTAACTCTTTATTTCTGGGCGTGGTTCAAAGACAGACATATTCTGATGAACTGGTTTTTCATTTGACATAAAGTTTGAGGAATGTGGAAAAGCCCGGATTCTGACCTTACCACGTTGTGTGATCATTTATAATGATGGCCCTCCACCACATCCTACAGCACCTGGACTCCCCGGGGACCTACGCCAGGGTCCTGTTCGTGGACTTCAGCTCTGCCTTCAACACAATCCTGCCATCCCTGCTCCAGGACAAGCTCTCCCAGCTCAACGTGCCCGATTCCACCTGCAGGTGGATCACTGACTTCCTGACGGACAGGAAGCAGCAAGTGCATCTGGGGAAGAATGTCTCGGACTCTCGGATTATAAATACAGGAGCCCCACAGGGCTGTGTTCTTTCTCCCCTGCTCTTCTCCCTGTACACCAACCACTGCACCTCCAGCCACGACTCCGTGAAGCTGATCAAGTTCGCGGACGACACCACCCTCATTGGACTCATCTCCAACAACGATGAGTCCGCCTACAGGAGGGAGGTGGACCGGCTGGTGTCCTGGTGCAGTGGTAACAACCTGGAGCTGAACGCCCAGAAGACAGTGGAGATGATTGTGGACTTCAGGAAGAGCACTGTCCCCCCCCCCCCCCCCCTCCGTGATGGACTCCCCCATCACCTCTGTGGAGTCCCTCCGTTTCCTGGGCACCACCATCACCCAGGACCTCAAGTGGGAGCCGACCATCAGCTCCCTCATCAAGAAGGCCCAGCAGAGGATGTACTTCCTGCGGCAGCTGAGGAAAGCCAAGCTGCCTGCACAGATGTTGGTGCAGTTCTACACGGCCATCATCGAGTCCATCCTCACCTCCTCCGTCACCGTGTGGTTCGCTGGAGCCACAGTCAGGGACAAACAGAGACTACAGCACATTGTGCGCTCTGCAGAGGAAGTGATCGGCCGCAGCCTTCCATCGCTGCAGGACCTGTACGTCGCCCGAGCTCGAGGCCGGGCTGGTCGTATCACAGCCGACCCCTCTCACCCTGCACATGGACTATTCCAACCACTCCCCTCAGGCAGGAGGCTGCGGTCCATCAGGACTAGAACCTCCCGCCACAAGAACAGTTTCTTCCCCTCTGTTGGACTCTTGAACACTTCTTAACCTGTCCCCCCGCCCTTTATAAAGTCACTTTACTGCCCATCATACTTGTCACTTTACTTCACTGTACTGCTGTCACCTTACATTGTGTGCACCATGTGCACTTGTATATTGTAAATAGTAACTGTAACTCTATTTTAAATTTAAATTTATTCTTTAGAAGTGTTTTTTATTCTTATTTTTATTATCTCTTTTTGACTGTTGCACTGAGCCAAAGCAATTTCCTAGTCTGTGACCTCCTGTTACTTACGTGGCAATAAAAATGATTCTGATTCTGATTCTGATTCTGATTATAAAATGTCAAACATGTTTTCACTGTGCAGAAAACCCCTTTTTTGATGATAATTGTAATATTATACAGAAAGAGCAGAGTGAAAGTGTTCAAAGGGATACAGAATGTGCCTTTCTGGGCTGAGAGGCTTTTTCAGTAAAAGTTAAAAAAAAAAAGTTTGAAAGCCAGGGACCTGAACTTAATGTAACAGGAGCTCAGACCCAGCCCGATTGTCGTACACACTGTGGCCAGCAGAGGGCGCCATCAGGCTCATGCACAGAGAAACTTTTTCATTAGTCAAAGCTATATAGGAGGATTTTCCCAAATTTTAGGAACGAACCACCCTCATTTTGGACAAAACTCTCTGGTCTTATTTGACGAGCACGTTTCACCAGAATGATTGACAATTGGGAGGACCAATAGCCTTGATGATCCACCCAGAAGTAGAAAATCCCCCTATATACACTTTAATCTTTTGTCCACCAACAATAAAATAAATGTAAAATAAAAAGAGTGCTTTGCTTTAAAGGGGATGCCCTTAGAACACACACACAAACAAACAACACACACACACAGCTTTGTCCTGAGGCTCTGACATCAGACACTTGTTCATCAGTGTTTACAGCAGAGAAATGCTGCTTGGACTAGGTCTTGGTCAGTTAGGGTTATGGGTTGCATCAGAGTCTGGGTTTGGGTATGGTCTGAGTCAGGTCTGGGCCAGGGTCTTTTATTGTGAGGTGAAATATCTCAGAAAAAGGAGAAGTGTGTTCACATATCACACTCAATGACTCAATGACACAACAGCAGTGAGTTTGTCAAACATTTGAATCTTTATTCAAACATGAGCCATTCAAATGACATCAAACACCAGAGAGCGGGGCTTATGACAGGTAAGAGACCAGGTTTAAGACAGGGGGAAAGGGCGGCGTTAGGTTATTGCCAAAATATTCTCAAGCAAATGAGAGCTGGACTGAAGTGCATCATCAATCTTTATGACTGCTGCACTTCCTGTTCGTGGACAATACATAGGTTACAGACTGAAGCCTGCATTTATTAAGAGCATTAGAAAGATTACAACATTCTCAATCAAAACAATTAACTTTAATTAAATATGATATATATATATATATATTATTCATCTGTCAACATTCAAATGAGACTAACAAAAACTGTCTCTAAACTGCGACTTTCACAAAAAAAACATAAAATTAAAGGTTTTGGACTAAAGTAAAGTAAGGACAGAGCTGCAGATGTTTGGGGTGCTATTTCTGCCACAGAAGGACAAGAAATATAGTACTGAGCTGAGCCTGAGGGGGCAGTGTGCTGCAGTACTCTGCTCAGACACAGAGGGAGTGCTCTACTTGAAGGTCTTGATGGGAGCGGGGACTTTAATGTCTTGTCCTTTCTCCAGTCGTTTTTCACATTCCACCAGATAGTTCACGCCATCCACAACGGTCTGGACCAGCTGCACCTGCAAACAGGAGGGAGCAGCAGCTTCACACTGAGCTCACCAGGTCTGGACATGGTTAAAATCTATTCCAGATCTATTTCAGACCTAATTCAGGACTCATCTAGGCCTGGTTCAGATCTGATTTTAACATGATCCAGGCCTAATTCAGACCTAGTTCAGGAGCTCACCAGGCCTGCACCTGGATAAGATCAGGTTAGAATCTATTCGAGACCTGTTTCAGGTCTAGTTTTCTACCTCAGACTGTCCCAGACGGTCCAGGTTGGAGATGTCGAATGTCCCGCCCACAGCAGCGGTGTCCACACCCCCTGTGCCTCTCTTCTGAAGACGCAGGTTATCCAGGATCTTACTGAAGCGAGGATCCTAGTGGAAGAAAAGGGTACTGCAGGGTCACACAGCGACAACAGCAGCAGCAGAAGTAATAGTAGTAACAGCAAAGAGTATAGATAACAAGTAACGAAACTCTGTTGCCGTTTTGACAACAGCCGCTAGATGGGGCTGCAATCGCGCTTTTATCATTATGGACTGAACCAGAAATGGTTACCGTAGCTACATGCCATACAATACAGCAATAAAATTATGTCTGATAATAACACAAACAGTGCTGTGCCATCAACTGCAGCCAAAACCAAATTGCATCTAATCAACTAGTATTTCAAAAAAATTCTCCAAAGATGCAGGTGTCATAAAAGTAGCTTTTTATTTTTTACTGAAGGGAACTAGCTAATACTAACGTCAACAGGTGTTGTAATGATGCACCATAAAGCATAAGACATTTTTTGCAGACGCTTTAAAGTCGAGGACTGTGGTAGAAGTGTGCTGATATGTATATCCAGCAGTTTTGATGCAAGTTTATTGCCTAGTCCCTTTTCTTTAGCCTAAAAAAAAGTTTAGGGTATGTTTATTGTGCGGTCTCACCAAAGGCCAAGCCCTGGTGACAGCTTTGTACTCTGATGAAAGTGTTTAATAAAAAACTGATTCATAAGTATTATTTTGTTGTGTATTACTTGTGGATTAAGGAGATGAAAATGGATGGATGGACCTCTTGGTACTTCTATACTCTTTGCTAACAGTAGTATCTGTAGTACTCCCACCTTGCTTAGAAGGGGCAGCTTCACGTGCACTCCAGCCCTCAGGCCGGTCCCCAGGTTTGACGGACAAGTCAGAATGTACCCCAGTCTCTCGTTCCACATGAACTCCCATCCACGCTCCTGTATGAGCCGCTCCACCTGAGGGTGCCAGAGAGAAAGGGGTATGTCAGGTCTCTCATTGGTCACTCTGTCTCACTCACTCTCTCTAGTCTGTCTTTCTGGTTTCTCTCTTTCTGGTTTCTCTCTCACTGGTCTGGTCTCTTTTCTTTGTTTTTTTCCTCTGGTTTGGTCTCTGGTTTCTGGTCTGTTCTTGGTCTCACCTCCTTCAATCCTCTGCAGAACCTGTCAAAGACCCTCTTCATGTTGCCTCCCTTCTCCATGGAGATGACCCTGGTGTGGTCCTCCTCGTTCACCCAGATCAGGAAGGTCTTCTCATTATTGTGCCTGAAACAGTTGTAGCATTAGTCCTGGTTCAGACTGGGCCCAAAACCAGCTCTTGACCAAGTTCAGACCAGGTTTCACTGACCAGATGCCGCGGGCGTCAGGCCAGTCACGGGCCATCCCGGCACAGGTCAAGAGGGGAGACACAGGCTTATCAAACAGGAAGTGGTCCTGAGGAGACACATGGGATATATGTTGAGATGACCAGAGAGAGACACCAGAGAAAGACCAGAAAGAGACCAAGAAACCTGAGAGAGACCTACGACAGACTAGAAACAAAAAGACCAGAGAGAGAGAGAGAAATTCAACTCATGTTTTTCTTTGATCTTTAGTCACTTATGGGTTTGTGAAGTCTTTAGGATTCAAATTTGATTGTGCAGAACTACAATATACTCATACTCTTTACTCACATCGATCAGTTGCTGTTGCTCCTGGTCGGTCATCTGTGTTAGACTGAAGTATTTCCCAGTCAGATCCCCGGAGAGGCCGCTCAGAGCCTCCACCACCACGTGCTCCACCTCACGACGCTCGGCTCGGGTACAGGCCGGTGGCAGACTGAGGCCGCGGATACTACGACCAGTACGCACCCGTGACGACAACACATACTTCTCATCAAACATCCCAGAGGTGAGCTATTGAAACAGGTATACACACAAGAGAGGAGGAGGGGTAGCAGTAGAGGTAGTAGTAGTAGTAGTAGTACTATACGTACCTTGCTGGAGTCCAAGTCTGTGGGGTGGGTCATGGTCTTAGGGTCATATCCATTGTGTCGCTCTTTGATCACTGGGTCGAGTAGCTCAGCAAACACCTGAATACCCACACAGACACACACATACGCATACACACACATGCACACACACACACACACACAGAACACACACACAGAACACACAGACACAGCCTGTGTGAAAAACAACAGAATGTTCTAGAGCATTAACAAGACTGGACCTCACCTGGTAGCTCCCATCTCACACACTCAAATTGTTGCTCTCCTCTCCCCCGTGCTCACCTGGTAGCTCTCCTTGTCGCTCTCCTCTCCCAGACTCACCTGGTAGCTCTCCTCTCCCACACACACCTGGTAGCTCTCCTTGTCGCTCTCCTCCCCCACACTCACCTCATAGCTCTCCTCGTCTCCTGCCACCATGCCCACGGTCTTGATGAAGGGATGCCCGGGGTTGTCCACACCGGTCTGGATGGCCTGGTCCAGCCGATAGCCGTTGGGCGTGGAGCGGTCGCACAGAGCAGAGTAGATGGCTGGGGTCAGGTGACTCGCCATACAGTTGTTATGTTTGCGGAGGTCAGGGTACTCCGCACTGAGGAGGAGGGGGAGAGGGGAGGTGTAGGTGGGAGTAAGGAAAGGAGGGGGAGTGAGAGGAGGAAAGAATACAGAAGAAAAATTGTCACACTAGCGATTATACAGACAGTTAGCATTGAGCTCGGGTTAGTATTGTTTGTGGTGTTTATATTTTCATGTGCGTTGTGGCCATAGACTATAAATATTAACGAACGTAGTCGCGCCCATCTCCGGCGTTGAAACAAATGTGCCACCACTTTTGCCTTCTATGGGCAGTTTCAAAATGGCCACGGGGCAGGAAAATGTTGAAAAAAAACATTTGCTCATGCGTTAGCCACATGGATCTATTATAATAACTGGATAGGGTATTACTAGCTTGGAGTTGAAGGACCCATGTGCTCGGGGGATTCTCACGGTACTGCAGACTAAAACAGAATAAATTCACGAGGGCTACCCAGAAATTTTCCCCATTGAACTCAATGTAAACTAAAACAGCGGGACCTCAGCTGACAGAGAACCTACAGCTTTCATAAAAGTCGGATTTTGTGGGGATTTCAGTGTCCCTTGTCATCCTGAACTTTTTTTCTTCTTAAATCCTTTGGTTTTCTTTAAATCCACACTTAGTGCCACAAACTCTGCCCGTCTGGCTCCCGCTCTAACTCCCGCTCTGATGAACAGCTCTGATTGGTCAGAGCGCGGCCGAGCCCCTCTGTGCACATGCGTGTGACCCCATGTGAGACCCACACACGCGTATTTGGTGCAACGCATCATGGGAGATGGTGCAACGCATCATGGGAGATAATCCACTGCAGAACCGGGAGGATCAGACGATGCCCAAATACAGGCGAGTTTCCCATGGCTCTTTACGAGTTCCAGGCGGGTTCCGCTAATATGTCAGCGACCGTGCCAGCACAATGCGCCACTGAGCACAAACCATTCATTTGAATATGGCGCCATCTTGGATCGCCGGGGCTTGGTTAGCCGGCATGAGCCCCATTCATTTGACGAGTGCATTGTCCATATTGGCTAAACTAGACTGATCCAAAAAATAAAAAATAAAAAACACCCTTCAGCATTTACACACATTTGGAACGTATTGCGTTGGGCCAAGAGCCGACATTGGGGAAAAACATGTAAAACCGTTTTCGGGAGGTATGAAGAGAGCATACAAAAGCATTGTATAAAGCATGTCAGAGCACTTTGCTCATGGGCCCACTGGTAGTGGCACGCAAGTTTGTGAGGACATACGTGCGGCAACCAATGAGAGAACAACAAAGTGTTCACGAGGACAAAAGCTGGTCAGGGCAAGAACATGAAGACACACAAAACAGGCAAAGCAAGAGACAAGGATTAAACAAGGGTTAAACTAAGACTGACACCAGTGACGTGCGGTGAGGTTGGTGATTGGTGAGGCACTGACTTCACCCCAATCAGATGTATATATACAGTGCCTTGCGAAAGTATCCGGCCCCCTTGAACCTTTCAACATTTCGCCACATTTCAGGCTTCAAACATAAAGATATAACAATTTAATGTTTTGTCAAGAATCAACAACAAGTGGGCCACAATCATGAAGTGGAACGAAATGTATTGGATAATTTAAACTTTTTTAACAAATAAAAACCTGAAAAGTGGGGCGTGCAATATTATAGCATGCGTACGCTCAGATCTGAGCGGATCTCTCATGTTCATAAATCCGACGTTGGATTTTGCGTAAATGGAATATACACCCAAAATGTACACCTTTTTCTCCGCAAGTTTCATAAATGAGCTTGTGTGTATGTGTGTGCTTGAGTGCGTGTGCGTGCATGTGTGCGTACGTGCGTTTGAACCATATTCTTTGAAACCCCAATTCCAGCTACCACTTGTAGTTTGCGAGCGAATTTGGCCTACTTACTAATCTGCAGGCCTACCCAAAATTGCGCCGCTGTTATAAGGATACGTTATTTCAAATGAATGCGTAGTTGCTCAACTAATAGAAATATTAAACTGTCTTCTTATTGCATTCGTTACCCTAACAAATGCTAACACTAAATAATACGGACATTAGCTATATCTATTATGGCACAGATGTTGCTAATGTTCGTATTATTTAGCGTTAGCATAAAAAACAGAGAAATAAACAGCGGTACTACAGAGGCCTTTTGTGGCCTTGGTGCGCGTGTTTTAATACAACACATTATAGCATTAACAATGTCCGTGCATTCTCTGGCTCCGTGGTGTACGTGCCATTAGAGGTCTACTGTTAACTCAAAGCAAACAGAGAAAGAACCAAATTTTATTCCACACGCGGTAGTGTAAAGGCTGATACGTTAATAAAGTGAAATAAAAGCATGTGGTGGAGGCGCGCACAGAGCTGAAACGCATCGCCCGCTCCATTGGCCTCATGGGAAGACAATGTGCGGCTTTGTGTCGATATTATTATAGATCCATGATCGGTATACAACATGCAGCCAGCGCTCCTTGAAGTTAATGTTTGTAAAGCTAGGATTGGCAATTTACCAATGCACCTGATCTATCAAAATTTAAACTGCACATTTTATTTTACATTGTGGAATAGGCCTACTTTTCTACTTTTCTTATAACCTGGCCTTTACAACTGTTATGAGGTGTATGACGTCTTATAAACCCTCTTTTACATAAATCAATAAATAATCAGTGAATATACAGAGTGGAAAAATGTTAAAACTAGGTATGTTCCTCCCCCTACATGTTCCAGCCATCTCCTAAGATGTGGAATTAGCTCAGACCTGTTCACCACAACTGCCTCTAAAATCCTGCACTGTCACTCAGAAAGGTGTTAATTCGGGTCTGAAGTGGCGTCTTGCAGAAGGTGCAGTTACACATTTGACCTGAGGTGGCAGTCGTGAGTATAAAATGGCCAACTAGCATCTAGTACCTTTAACATTAACAAGTGTTTTACATTATTCAGTTGATGATGTGAGTCTGTGCGAATTGAATCTGTTTCTGTAGTTTTGGCCTCTGATGATTTTACTCTAATTTAAGTGGGTCTGCGCGATTTGTATTTATTGTTTAAGAATGTTTTACCAATAAATTGCATTATTGTTAAATGACTCATTTATTTACACACTATATTGTGTAAAACAAAAATAAAAATACCTTCCATCCATCCATGTTCTACCCTTTAATCCATCTCTGGGTCAGGGGGGTGGCAGTCAGAGATGCCACCCAAGTCTCATAGCACCAGCCCCTCACTGACCCTCTGCAGGTGGTGAGTCCACAGGAGGACGGCTGCTCTCTGAGTGTGAGCATAGCCTTGATCTTTCAGTGGGGGCTTTTGGGCAAAGTGGGGTTAAGTGTCTTGCCCAAGGACACAACGACAGCAGTCATCGACCTTCAGGCCTGAAGGCCAATGCTCTACCAACTGAGCTACTGTCGTCCACAAATAACAAAACAAACAAACAAAATACATTTAAAATAAATGTATAATTTAAAAAATTTATTAAAATATACATATTAAATTCGGGACGGTTCACATCCATTTTGGGACGATGCCAAATGGTTTTCGGGACAGTGTCGGGACGGTCATGAAAAAAGTTAGTCTGGAGCCCTGCATGTGTGATTGTGCCAGAAATGAGAGGAATCGGCAAAGTAATAAGCGTAGAATCTTTTTGACACAATAGTTACATTAGTTATAGAGATACACCAATCCAGCTTTTTTACTACCGATACCGATACCAGAGCTATGGGTTTCTGCCGATACCGATATTGACCGATGAAATGATCATGCTAAAATGTATTTAATAATTGAACTCTTTGTTCAAGTAACTGCAAAAGCAGTGGATGAACTAAAGCGCTAAACTTTCCAGATAAAAATGGATTCAACATAAATGTGCAATAATGCAACTATAAAGAGCTGCTCAATGTTCACATTAAACATTCCAACACTGTATTATACCTTATACATTTATTGAATATAAATGTACTTATATTAACTGTGTTTGAATAAATAAACACTTACAACAAACAAAACACGCTGCATGAAAATGTAAATAATAATAGTACCGTAGCTTTAACTGGATTTCAGATATGTATTTGGCGACGGCATGTACCTGGGTTCCAAATGGTCTATGGGGCTGCGAGCCCAAACTGACGAACTCCAACACTTTCGGGTTGTTGCTGAAAAGCTTTTTGTGACGCTGCGTCAGTGTCATCTGTGTCTCGTTGTTTTCACGTAATCTCCTTTCGATGCAAAAACTCCCCACGCTGTTTCTCATGGTGCTTAGTCGTGTTGTATTTCGCTAGTTTACCGCCGCGTGAACAACGCTGATTCTTTCCTGCGCTCCATGCTGTGTTGTTGTTGTTGTAGAGCGCCACAAGGAAGTGACGTGTACGTGAGATCTGATAAATTACTTTTAATTAATTCATTTTATACGTATATGTACATTAGGCACAATGTATTTTAAGACATTGTGCGGTACCTGGTATGTATTAAAAAAAATATATAATTTTAAACAAAAAAAGAAAAGAAAATTGATCGGCAGCACGGCGCCTCTCTCTACGCAGATATCCGATCAAGTATTTTTTCTGGTATCGGCGCCGATATCGATACCAGTATCGGATCGGTGCATCCCTAATTAATTACCATAGTCATCAGGAAATCATGTTTCAGCTGCAATCCACCACAGTGTGAAACTATCGCTCTTTGGAGTATGTGATGTCATATTAACAACACAGATGGTCTGAGCGGAGATGGACGAAGTTGCACGTTGTCTTCTCAGTCTTGACCTCCCCCTGGCCCTTCTGTTCTCAAGCCATTCTCTTAACTCAGGTATCTATGAGATGTTCTGTCGGGAGATGTTTGGGAAGAAACCCAAAACTCTGGAGTTTGGACTTCAGCCTCATAAGATCCCAGACTGTGACGTGGTGAGAGATCTAAACATGTGTTATTTATGAGGCTAAAGTTGCATACTTTATTGTACCTGAGCTTTATTCTTGTGCAGGCCCTGTTCCTCATGCCCTCCTCCAGTGCCCGCTGTGCACAGTTCCCAAGAGCTCAGGACAAAGTGCATTTTTACATTAAGCTCCGAGAACTGAGAGAGAAACTGAAGGGGGAGCAGAAGAGCAAGGAGGTGGAGGAGGTCACCTACTCCTTCAACCTGCAGCTGGCTAAAGGTACCCCCCACCCTTCTGTCTGACCACTCTGATATCAAACACAGAGTCCTGCAGCAGGTCAAAGCTACCCACCACGCCTCTGTTTAAACCCCTTGTAGATGATAAAAGTGTAGTTTCTCACTTTGACCACCAGATGGAGTGGTGCTCATCCTGACGCCTCTTGTTTTTCTCTGTTACAGAGGATGCTAAGCGCATGGCGATCAAAGAGGAGCAGTACGACCCTGGATACGAGGATGCATATGGGGGAGCGTACGGGGAGAAGGGGGAGAAGGGGGAGAGCAACGGACACTGCACCTACAACAATGACAATACAACAGGTAAACAACAACAGCAGCAGCAGCGGCAGTACCTCTCTTTAATAAGTTGGAAACCTCTGTAGGCTGCTGTGTGTTAGCTCTAACCTTGTTTTAGCTCTGACCTTGTGTTAGCTCTAACCTCCTCTCTTTCAGATCCTCCGTCTGCGTCGTCTGCGCAGCCGGCTGCAGCTGCACAGTCTCCAGACGGACAGTGGATGAACCAGAGCTTCGCCGACCAGATCCCTGACATCAGTGGGACGGGAGCAGAGGGCCGGCCAGCACAGAGCCAATCAGCAGAGGGCGCTGTGTAAGACCCAGACCTCTGCACCAGGAACGTGGCTCACGCTCGTGCCACCAGAGGGAGAACCACCATCAGGGGCGCTGTGGTGCCGGTCACATGACCCGGTTACGCTGGACTTCCTGCACCTCCGTTCAGAGACAAGGAGAATCTTCACACAGTACAGACCCTGAGGACTTTATACTGATCACATGACTCACCTCTCATGTTTTCATTGTTGGGGGGGGGGGTGTGAGAGAGGGCCTCGCGGTCACAGGCGCACTGCAGCAGAGGTGCAGGATGTGGAATTTGAGCCCCAGACTGCGTCTTCTTTTACTGCTGTGACCTGGTGTCCCCCGGTCATCCTCAGACCCTGGTCTTGGTCCTGGCCTCCTTCAGGCCCTGGTCTTGGTCCTAACCTCCCTCAGGCCCTGGTCTCCCTCTGACCCTGGTCTTGGTGTTGGTCCTGGTCTGGTCTCTACTCCCTCTGTTATAATGAATGGTAGCTGTAGTGGGATCTGTGGCGTCTCTACAGTTTAATGTGGACGTCTGTTCTGACAGAGACTTTAATCCTGTTTTTAATAAACGTAGGAATAGAATCATGTTCAAATGTGGACCATGTAAGATTATGAACTGTTACAATAAATGCTTTTCTACATTGCTGTCTTCTGCTTTGGTTCTGGAACTTTTCCCTGTTCTCACTTTTATTTGAGACATAAATGAAAGTGATCCTGACTGAAGTGAGAAATAAAAACATAATGATTAACATGAGTCCTATCAAAGCTGCAGCAAAACAAACTGGACTTTTATACAAAGATAAGAAGGCGAGCAACTTTATTACTGCTGCTGCTGCTACTGATGTTACTGCTACTAATGCTGCTGGCACTATTGCTCCTGCTTCACCCTCACTACTACCACAACTCTACAAGTTCGGTCTCAGTTCAGATCTGGTTTTGTGGACTTTGCCCATGGATCTATTATAATAACAGGACTTAGCCCCAAATTTCTTCAGTTAATACTCTTTCATAAGGAGCTTTGGGCACAAATGCTCAGACACAATCTCAATGATCCATAAACTCTTCCACTGTTGGTTTGGATGGAGCTAAACACCACTGCAGGTCGGAAGAGTCCTGGAGCCTTTATATTTAGACTGCAGCTGTTGTAGGACATCTACCAGTGACGTCACATTTCTACGTGACAGAACAACCATCGCACCAGTCTGAAGTCCACTCTTTATGGTTCTCATCAGACATTGTCCACATTAACCAGCTACACATGCGACCATCATGAAGCTGATAAGAGTATTGAACTGGTGTCTCTGGTGTACATACTTCCTCTGACTCAAATTTCACAATAAAGGGGAGGCCAGGGATGACGACTGTCCATAAATGTTAATAAATGTGCAAAACGCACATTTGTCATGGATCATTACTTTCCGGTTTAGCTAATATTTACACTCATATATGAGCCTTCTGTATCGGCGAGGAACCACCAAGAGGGGAAAATGTTAGAAACCTAAGGAGGCCAAATTTGAGGGTCCACTCCACAGGTGGATTCAAGGCTCCTGTTGTCCTGTAGATACAGGACTAAGGATGTGGTCTGTGGGTTATTTGTGGCGTATATAATACTCTGGTAACATGGATATGTATTTTTTAATCAATGTGAATGAGAACTATTAAAAATAATACTTTTATATTTTGTTTCTTATACATAATAATAATAATAATAAAACTAGAAAATTGGTTGATGTGCAGCCGTGAGAGTTAGCCGTTAGAGTCAGCCGTTAGCTTCAAACCGCTCCTCGCGCTCACACACAATAACGACGATATTTGACTTAACGCTTATTATCTTTAATATTGTTGCTTTATAACTGTGGTGCTTTTACTTTGACACATCCTGTTGGCCCGTATTTCCAGCGCTAGCTTTACTCCCACTGAAGGTTGCCTCGCTCCGCGGTGGCCCGAAGCTGTTTCCCGCTGATTCGCGCTCCTCCACTGCTTCTCCGCTCCTCTGTCTCCTCTCCTCCGTGTCTCCTCTCTGTGTAAGGTGTATCATCATGGCCAGTAGCTTCTCTCGGGTTCTGTCCTCCAAGCGCATTGGGCTTTTGTCTCTGGCCGGAGGTTCGGTGACTGCAGCCGCCTTTCTCCTCCATCAGCAGCGGAGCAGGGTGTCCGCAGATGCCGGGAGAAGGAGATACCCCGCCAGGTAAAGTCAGGCATCCACAGGCACCGTCGTTACCTCAGATTCATGGCCGTTACCTCAGATTTAATTCGACACGGACGCATGTTTCCCCGCTGGGAGAGGCTCTGACACAGGCTCCATCTCCATTGGAATACCTGACAGACTCTTCACTCAACTCATAGCACCCGTTTAGTTGTGTAAAAGCACATTCTTTCCATATATTTCGAGCTAAATCTCAGCCTCCATCTCATGTTTACCTATGTCTGACCAAACATGTGTCTGCGCTGGGAAACAGAAAGATCTGCTAAAAATAGGACACAGAATCTTCATGAGTCTGTAAGGGGATGATTGTCTACTTATGCTACGGAAAGTACATTGATTGAATTATTGAAAAAGAATGATATTCTCTAGTAGTCTAGGTTTTATGAGATCAGTATTGAGCGCGCTGCCTGTGGACCTGCACATCTGCCGAGTCCTGCCAGTCCTGGTTCAGATCGGGGTCAGACCTTTTTCAGCCCCGTTTCAATCCTGGTACAGATCTGGTCCCCGTTTCTTCTCTGGTGGATGTTGGCTGTGATTTTTTTTTTAAATATATATCTGAGTGTTTCTCAAAGGGAAGGGGGCGACAGTAGCTCAGTTGGTAGAGCATTGGCCTTTGTTTGAGCCTCTAGGTCAGCCATTCCCAAACTCAGTAACACCGAGGCCCCCTTAAAAATCTGACGGGTCTGCGTGGCCCCCCAAAATAATAACCAAGAAGACAACATTAAGAATAGGCTCTTCTGGTTATTTTATTTTGGGGAAATAGCCTCTGATACAAACATTGTAATACAAAAATGATTACAGTGGATTATTCAAGTCAAATAATGAACACAAATATTTTAATATTACAAACAAAACATTATAAATTTAACATTAAATAATTATATTATTTTTTTTATTTTTTTTATGACCTCCCGCGGCCCCCCTGCAGTACCCTCGCGGCCCACCAGGGGGCCGCGGACCCCACTTTGGGAGACACTGCTCTAGGTCATGGGCAGGCCTGGACTGGCCATCGGGCATACCGGGCAAGGGGCCGATGCCCATATTTGGGCCGGTCTGTCTGCTTCATACAAAAAACATGTTTGTGAAAAATGTTTGAGGGGGGCGCGCATGTCCTCGGCCAACTGCTGTGTGTACTCGAACGGGATTCCGCCACCTCAGCGGCCGCAGTGTTCCGAGACAGCTGCGGCCGCTTTGTAATGAGCGGTTCAAGCATCCAGTGGCTCTGAGCTGGACGCGGGAACCACGAGATCCGCTCACAACACAACACGGTGAGCACGTAGCCTCAACGTGGCCATGTACCCAACCCCATAAACGCGCACAGGACCATGCGTGTCTTTGAGTAATCTGTGCACCCAATAAATACACCGCTGCAGGAAACAGTCCGCGTCTCCCCTCTCCTCTCGAAGGGCGACTAAATTAAAGCTCAGGTACCTAAATTTTCCATTGCATTAAAAGTTAATGTTTGAGCCCATGTAGTAAAATGTTGTGAACAAATCAAACAGATTTAGTGACAGACAATGGCTGACAATATGCATTTCAGACTTTTTGGACCAATTCTCATCCTTGTAACAAACAATAGTGTTGTCTGTGTGTTCACCTTCCTCACTCTGAGACATGTTTATTACTCTCTTGTAATGTAGACTATTGCACTTTATTTCAATTGTTGAAACTGCACATATCCTGATCCTCTAGTATTTTCTTCCATGCTGTATAAACCAGGGGTCAGCAACCTGCGGCTGGAGTCTTTTAAAAAATGTCTGAAAATGGAGTGGGAGGGCTATATTTTATTTCTAGTTTGAATGTGGTTTCTGTAGGAGGAAAAACATTCTTAACGTTTTTAAATGCTGCAAAAATGTGCGTAAGTAATATTCAATTTCGACATTTCTGTCAACGTAGTGCGTCATATCCTGTGAAGCGGCCCGCGTTAGGCGGCCGCTGCTGTAAACAAACCGGTGTGTGCCATGGATCCCAAAGCTAAAAAGAGAAAGAGTCGATAATTAGTCTGTACTAAGAATAAGAATGAACATTTGCTTTCAGTCAATGAGGAAGGACTGCTTCATGTTTGTAATGAGAAGTTTTGTTACAACACGAGGAACAATGATGCGCTAAACACCGTTCACGTTAGGGATGTAAATCGGTGACTGTTTAACCGGTGGTTGACCGTCACAGCGTTAACCGGTCAAAGCTGTCGGTTAAAAATAAGAAAAAGCGGAGAGGGGAGGTCTCTTAATAAGGCTATTAATAAGCCCTATTTGTACGATGTGACGAGCGGGTCCGTATCTAGCTGTGTGCGCCAATGCATTAGTAGACTACGGGCGACTTTCATGGCGCACGCTCCACATATGCACGCAGCCACGCACACGCACGCGCGCGCACACACACACACACACACACACACACACACACACACAAACACTTTCCCCCCCTCCATACGTAACATCCACACGCATCATCTCTCCCCTCTGTTACCGCCAAAGTTCCACACTAGTGCAGGTCAGAACTACATTGGAGCTTATATTTACACACACATACATACATGTATTGTACACACACACATACCGGTCTGTCGCGCACCTCTGTGTCTCGCAGCCCAAAGAATTCTCGCAAATACGCGGTCCTTGTCATTAGATCAGATCCACACACATCACTTTTAAACTTTAGCGGAGACCTGCGAGACGCGGCGTGTAACTCGCTGCTCTGACCATGTGAACGAGCAGTCTTTTGCTTAAAAATGCTTTAAGCCGCAGCACAGAATGGGAAGATTAAAAAAGCAGTTCTCTGTGCGCAAAGGTGCCGAAGCTGTTGCGGGTTTTGGCGCCGCTGTCTCAGCTCTGATCTAGTAGAACGCATAGATAAACTCTCGGCTCGAAATGGCTGCTATTTCAAAGAACGTGGAATATTTTAAACTACGCGGTTAACCGGTTTCAACCGGTTAATGAGGCTCGGTGGTCGGTCATGAAAATGCATAGTTTTTTACATCCCTAGTTCACGTTGATCACGTGAAGGATTCATTCATCATAAAGTCAGAGCACCTATTTTCAGACTTCAAATACCTCCGCAAAAACGGTGAAAGAAAAGGCCATTAAGGACATTCAGCTCCAGCAAACTTCAGCCTGTGCTGTGAACTCTGAGCCAAAAAGCAGATTTATTTACTGTATTTCTACAATTGCATGAAGACAAAAAATGGAAGTTAAAGTTAAAGCAGAGTCGTCACGTGTTGCATCATTCTCTCCAGGACACGCTGCAGTGAAAATACACATTTGATAATCATTAATGCTTATTATGCATTTGTAGCCTTTACTTTGTCATTTAGATATTAAGCTAATGTAGCTAATACAGCTGCAGCCTGTGTTACCTTCATATAAGCCTTATACAAGGCTGTTATTTTTTGCGGCTCCAGACAGATATTGTTTTTGGCTCTTTGAACCTTTTGAGTTGCAGACGCCTGGTATAAACAAACTGTAAAACACGTGAAAAAACATGCCTGGGCCGCCAAGAAGGCAAAAATGCCCAGGCCGTTTTTTTGTCCCAGTCTAGCCCTGGTCATGGGTTTGAGCCCATCACGAGACCTAGCTACTTCACGACTTCCACTGATGTCTGCTGTCGTTGTGTCCTTGGGCAAGACGCTTAACCCCCACTTTGCCTGAAGCCCCCTCTGAAAGATCAAGGCTGTGTCACTGACAAAGCAGCCATCCTCCTGTGGACTCGCCACCTGCAGGAGGATCAGTGAGGGACTGGTGCTCTGTGTACTGGGTGGCATCTCTGACTGCCTCTACCCCGACCCAGAAATGGATTAAGGGGTCGAGTCCATCCTCACCTAGTCCATCACAGTGTGGTTCGCTGGAGCCGCAGTCAGGGACAAACAGAGACAGCGCATCGTGCAACCTGTACTTCACCCGAGCTCGAGGCCGACCCCTTTCACCCCCCACATGGACTGTTCCAACCTCTCCCCTCGGACAAGAGGCTATGGTCCATCAGGACCAAAACTTCCCACCACAAGAATAGTTTCTTCCCCTCTGCTGTTGGACTCTTGAACACTTCATAACCTGTCCCCCCGCCCTTTAGAAGTCACCTACGGCCCCTTATAAAGTCACCTTATTGTCCCTTATAAAGTCACTTTAATGCCCATCATAACGTCACTTACTGCTTGTCACCTTATTGCACTGCATATTGTGTGCACCATGTGCATTTGCATATTGTATATAGTAATTGTAATTGTAATAATTCTATTTTAAATTTTATTCCTTAGAAGTGTTGCTGATTTTTATTATGCCTTACTCTATTCTTACCTCTCTTTTCTGACTGATGCACCGAGCCAAAGCAATATCCAAGCCCGTGACTTCCCGTTACTTACGTGGCAATAAAAATGATTCTGATTCTCAGCTCAGGCTGAACTAACTCAGGCTTTGTGTTTCCTTGAGTAAGTGCTCCTGATGCCCAGAGACAGAGACCCAGGACCGGACTGTGTAAAGCTGCGCATGATCTTCTACGCATGAACGTGCGTCGATGGACGCATGAGCGTGTGTTGATGAACGCATGGACACATGTCTGCTGAATTTAGAAAGTCTAGAAATTCTGCCGTACTGGCCTGCGATGACGCAAAATGCGGGCTATTAAGTTTAAGATAGCAGCTTTTTGTAGTAAGTTTTATCATGGAAAGATAAAAAGAATGAAATTGAAACAATAATACTTGGTCACTATATCAAATGATTTGTGCTATTGTATTATTTCAATGTAACTTTGCCTTATTTGTATTTATTTTTACCTTGAAATCGCAGATTTTCGTCATATTCTTCTCATATTTAACAGAGCAGTGCGCTGTGAGGCGAGCCTTTCTTGGGAGATGTAAAAGCCCATAGCTCACTGTGGGAGAAGCCCGCGCTGCTATCAAACTGTTTTCTCTGTTTATCGCAGTTTACAAAGTTCAAACAGATTTCCTTTACAATCTACATGTCTACAATTGAGAGGATGGATCATAAATTGTGT